CTTCTTTGCAGGCAGAACAAGTGAAGATTGTAAACCAGACCGGAAGAATTCGTCAACGAACGAGAGCAATGACAGCAGCAATCAAGTTTCATGGATGAACAAGAAAGCCTTATTGACTAGAAGACGTTCAAAGAAGCTGCTTTGGGCGTTGTTTTTTGTCGCCTTTGTATTGTGTATGATATATCTTGTGATCGTAAGATGCATGCTACAGAATGAGAAGATATTAAATGATACTCAAGCAAATGACAGCAAAGAAAAAATGACCAAGAAAAAGCTGTTTATAGCAGCAAAGAGACACGAGATGGTGCTTCGAATAGATGAAATGTCGCAAATGTTTACATCGATAAACATGACAAAGGTGAAAAAGGAAGTAACAAGAAAAGAACTGGAAGATCTGAGGGACTATGAGTGTATTGGATGGAGACAAACCAAAGATTGTTCGCCGTTGGGAACACGAGAGTATGAAAATGATGAAAACTGCAGTGCATTGATTCCAAATGGGCGTTCAGGCTATTGTGAGGTGCGCAATACACGCACGGGGGAGGTAAAACGAGTGATGGAAATGCACTGCAACTCGCTAAGACGACACGTGATGTTTAAGTGCGATTTGTTTCAAAGTCTACAGAGTCATCGTATTCTGTCGATGGACTATGAACATGATCCGAACTTTTCGTACACGCATAATCAAGAGGTCTTCCGTGCAACCAATAGGTTGTCCGATACGCCAACCTTGCTCGGAGATGATGGAAAAAGAACGAGTGAGAGCCATGGAGAGCTAAAGCTGTCATTTGACCGGGGAATAGCATATGTGGTTTACGAAAAAATGATGCTAGGAGCGTATGTGAGTGTGCGCTTGTTGCGCACTTTAGGTTGCACGTTGCCGATTGAGGTCTGGTACAAGCCGTCGGAGATGAGTGTCGAGCACCCACTTTTGCAGCTTATGGTGACGGAGTATAAAGCGTACCTGCGTGTGATTGAGGACGAGTCGGTCACATCTTTTTTTACAAAACTCTATGCGCTGTTCTATAGTGCCTTTGACAATGTGCTGCTGCTGGACGCTGATAATTTTGCAGTGCGTGATCCTAAGTATTTGTTTGATACGCAGGAGTTTTTGGAGACAGGCGCGATCTTCTGGCCAGACTTTTGGAAACCAGGCAATACGATTTTTAATATAAACAAGGAGAGCTACCTTTGGGAGTTTATTGGGCTGGATTATATAAACGCGTTTGAGCAGGAAAGTGGCCAAGTGCTGATCAATCGACGGATGCACTACAAGGCGTTGAACCTGCTTATGTACTACGGTTTCTCAAAGCCTCGACCTCACGACTATTTAAATCTTATGTGGGGCGACAAAGATTTGTTTCGGTTCTCGTGGATCAAGTCTAGCAGCTCGTTTCACATGATTGAGCGCCCACCTGGCTCCGCTGGCACGAAGCATAAGGACCACGATCTGTTCTGTGGCGTGGCTATGGTACAACATGACCCAAGTGGAAACGTGATTTTTCTACATCGTAACACACTGAAGCTCACGTACACGAACAACCAGACAGTGTGGACCCATATCCAGCAGTACAAGCGCACAGCATTGCCTCTAGATCACAGGGTGCGCGGTGCGAATGGCGGCAAATTCTTTCCACAGTTTAAGCGGTGCTTTGGCAAAGACGTACAGTACCATAAGTTTTTTACGCTTAAACCGATGAGCGAGTTCCCTTTTGCGAACTTGGAGCATGACATTTTGCGGTTTGCTGCTGCCGCTGCTAACATTATCGACAACGCAAAGAAATCGGGCAGTAAGAAGAGTAGCTAAGATTTGGCAAAGGGCGAGTCATAGGTGAATGTCATTGAGAAGATTTTTTTATACTAGGACTACTTGTGAATGGATCAGGCTATCGAGATACGAGCAAGAACGCTTGAGACACCACACAATTGGATAGCGAGACGCACAGTGGTCTTTCCATTGTAGCATGTCAGTGTCCAATTTAGCGAGTTGTCTGCACAAGTTTTTGTTGTGTTGCCGATTGATTACAAGGTCCGTCACAGAAAAGACTGGTTACTAAACGTCGACTAGCCAATCACAGTATAAGAGAGGCAAACAATTTTATTAGACATAGTTAAAATTTACGAGATGTCTGGTAGATCTAAGCTTGATTAGCACCGCCGGTTCCTCGGATGAGTCCGGTGGTTGAACGGGGCTAGTCAGTGCGGTAACGACTCTCGAGGTTGCCGTGTTATAGTGCTAGCAGAGTAGCTGTCGTGTGCCTTTGATGGACATTTCTACGCGTCGGCTCTAGCGCTTACCAATTGCACGTTGATAAATGCCGGTTTACCAAAACTCCTAAACGCTGCCTCCGATGGTCAGGTTCGCATGCTGGAATTTTGCCGTTTTTTGTATTCATAAGCAAGCAATGCATACGCTGCTCAGAATGATTCATAGGCGGCGCCATAACGTCAACGAGGTAAGCCCGGTTGTGACGTGTCACGAACCGGGGTGAATAGCACTGGCCCCGTTCGGGCCAGGAAAACCTAAAGACACCCTATGTAACGGGGTTACACGTGACTTTGGGTACGCTGGTAGGTGTATTGAAGTGTAACGAGGTTACACAAAGGCACTGACTTTGGGTACGCTGGTAGGTTGATGTGACCGTATTGAAGTGTAACGAGGTTACACAAACGTGTGCATTATACATACACACCTGCCACACCAATGTCGTGCGAATGAACCTTGGGTACAAAAGTAGGCTTGATGTGACCGTACCTAAAGTACGAAGGGTCGCATCGTGGCAGAGAGCCACGTGGTCACTATACTTATTTAAAGTATAGTGACAATGCATATTTGCATAATAATAACAGGCTATAGAGCCAGTAAATAGTGACTAGCACTAAGTATAGATGGTGCTTCTATATTTAGTGGTAGAAGATCCACATAAATATGATCAGTTGCAAACCTGCTGTATAAGCCTTAGAGCTTGAGCGTTCTATTCCTCCTGAGAACAATTGTGTCTCAAAGAGACTAGTATCAAAAATTTGTATCTTTGATACTAGTCTCTCTGAGACTCGGTTGTTAATACCGAGAGGCACAAGCTTACGAGCTAGCCTAGGAATGTTAAGCACCCTAAGACGCAGAAGCTCTCTGAGCTTGTCTTACTCTGCACATAGTGCATACATAGCTTTGCTACAGTAGTCTGACTGCTTCTTTTGCACATAGTGCATCTGCACATATTGCATCTCTACATAGTGCATAAGTGGCGTAGCTACAGTAGCTCGGCTACACCTGGTAGCACTTGTAGTCAATCCCGCAGCTGTGTCTGACTACTTTTCCGTGAGAATGGACATCGATGAGATGTCCGCGGTTGGCCTGTCACAGGTACAACAGGAAGGGTTGCAAAAGCTACTCCCTATCCTTGGCCCTAAGGGCGTGAAATACCTCATCACCCAGAGCGAAGAAGAGGTTAAGAAGCGTATTCATATGCCTGATGAATATAACCACGTTCTAGTCGAGCATGTAAAGGCACATATGTCTTTTTCTGCGCCTCCTCGCCGCAAGAAGTGGTCCGCATACCAAAACCCATACAAATGGAAGTTGATAAGTTCGACGGCAAAGAAGGTGATAACGTTATGCTTTGGTTCCCAAAAGTTGAGTCGTCTAAGTTTATAGCTGCATCACCTATGAATCGTACCGTGTGAGCTTTTTTACGGGTATGTTGGGTGGCTTAGCCAAACAGTGGGCATTCACATGTGGTGCATCACTGCAAGATGCATTCCCAACATGGGCCGATCTGAACGTTCAGATGGACCGGCAGCATGCACCGCCAAACCAAGCACACCGTAACCGGTCGCGATTTTTGGTGTGTCGTCAAGGCAAGCGTGAGCTTGCAGCATATGTGCAATCGTTGTGAGCTCTCATTGCTGCCATGGTCATAGACCCTATACCTGAGGCATTGAACGTCACGATCTTCATGCAGGACCTCCGAGTTGGCGTTGACAGAACGGAATTCTTCTGGGTAGACCCGTCCTCATTCGAGGAAGTTGTTGGGGTGGCATGGAATGCCGAGACCAACATCAAGGCTGCTATGCCTTCCACTTATAACTACTCGTCTGATGGGTCTGTACCCGTGGACTGTAGACAAGTGGAGGATGAAGAAGCGGAGCTTCAAGCTGCGGAGCAGCAAATTGTGCGCAGATGTTATATCTGCAAGAGCATAGGCCATTTGATTGCAAAATGCCCTGCGTGAAAGGCATATTTGGCCTCGAAGGGCCGACGCCCCATGAGTAAACCCTTTGGTTTGCCGCGAGGGAACGGTAGAGCCCAGTAGGGCGCCCCGCGGAAGAACTGATTTGTATAGAAGCTCTAGGAGGTAGAAGTAAACAGATTCCATCCCCAAAAAGACCCAAACTCTCAAAAACGGAACAAGAATGCAAGCCAGGCTTGCTAGTCGTCAAAGGGACGATCAAGGGCTTTGATAAGCCATGGATCATTTTGATCAATTCGGGGTCATCGGGCAATTATGTGCGCCGTGCCACCATGGAAGGTAGTCAGCAGTATGCTAAAGTGCTTGTAGCGCGTGAAAGTGACAGTCACAGTTCGCTTAGCGACTGGTACGCGTGTTACGGTACCCAAAGTTCCGATGGACTTAAATGTAAAGTTCTTGGACTTTTACAGCATGGAAAGCTGTTTGGTCTTAGACCTGGATGCGAGGTATGACCTCATCTTAGGCATGGCATGGCTAGAACTTCATGAGCCATGGATTGATTGGAGGTCGAAGACCTTAGGCGCAACGCGCAATGCTCCTGGTTGGGCTCTGGAGAGTTATGAACCCACCTCTGCTAGGAAGCAAAAACGCTTTTAGCACGGATATTGAACGAGTCGGTCAATATGTTGGATGTCGGAATATCCGACTTTGTAGACAATGTAAGTGTCGAGGACAATAGTCCTAGGCGAGGCCTAATGACTGTCGATAGTGTGGTTGAGCACCCACTAGATGGCACATATGACATGTGTCATGAGAATGATGTTACATCATTAAACACCGTGAGTGGTGTTGGTGGCTGCTAGCCAAGATGTCAGGACATGAGTCCAAGTGACATGATTGACGAGGAACTGCCCCTGGAAGGCCGAGTGAAGTCACAAATGGATGTTGTCTTTGAGGACGGCGAGGTGCAAGCACCTAGTGACGAGATGCTAGCCCAAGAGGGTGAGGAGAAGTCAAAAACGACGGTTTTCTTTGAGGAAAAGGAGGTGCAAGCACCTAGTGACGAGGTACTGACCCTGGAGGGCCGGGTGAAGTCACAAATGGATGTTATCTTTGAGGACGGCGAGGTGCAAGCACCTAGTGACGAGATGCTAGCCCAAGAGGGTGAGGAGAAGTCAAAAACGACGGTTTTCTTTGAGGAAAACGAGGTGCGAGCACCCCATGACGAGGCATTGCCTAAGAGTGTGAGGTGCAGTCAGTAACGAAGTGGTCTTTGACCTTGAGGTGTGTACATCTGTGGACGCTAATGCGTCGGATGCTGAGAGCATTATGAGTAGCGATGATAATATCGTGAGTGGCGGTGATAGCGAACAGCTATATCCACTAGTCAATGGTTTGACTGGGATGTCGAAGAACCGGTGGCTCTTTCAGCAATACCCGCAGTAAGTGCTCTGTTCGAGCTGGACGAGTTGTCCTTTGCCGAGTTTGGCAGTGCCTTACAGGCAGGCGACATCGCCGCAGTGGTCGTTATACGACCGGAAAAGGAGTTTAGCTCCTCATCGCTTTTGGATGAAGCAGTTCTTGAGAATGCCAAGAAGGCGCTGAACGCGCGTAGTGGGTCGCAGATCCTGAAGTATTCTTCGGATCCTTATTTTCCTTTGTTGAAGGAATATGGAGATGTTGTCGCCAGAAAACCTCCGACGAGGTTACCTCCGGATAGAGGTGTACGTCATGAAATTGACTTGGTTCCAGGAACTAAATACTGTGTGACGCGGCAGTGGCCGCTGCCACGAGAACAATGTGGCGTCATTGACGAGTTCTTTTGTGCAAAGCACGCGGCTGGCATGGTGCGTGAGAGTAAGTCTCCTCACTCTAAGCCTACGTTTTGTGTGAAGAAGCCTAATGGGAAGTGGCGAATAGTGCATGCTTACAATAAGCCGAATGCAGCCACTATCCCGGCTCAAACACAAATTCCTCACAATGATGTTCTTCAGAACAATATGGTGAGATGTACGATGTACAGTGCCCTCGACTTAGTCGATGGATATTACCAGCTGCTCATGCGATCTGGTGATATTCCGCTGACAGCGGTCAGCGATCCGAGCGGTATACTTTGGAAGTGGTTAGTGATGCCCCAAAGGCTGTCTAACGCACCTTCAACGTTCAGCCGTCTAGTGACACAGTTGTTTCGGCCCCATAGGGCGTATGCATAGACATACTTTGACGATATATTCGTCCATAGTCGAGCCGAAAATGGCAAGACTGATGTGGACAATCACGTCGAACACCGCGAGCTGGCTCGGTTGCATACGGATGCATAAGTTATATGCCAATATTGACAAAATCATTCTTCGGTGCGGAAGAGATTCCCCTTTTTGGGATGCTTTATTGGAAAACAAGGAATCCGAGCAGGCCCTGTTAAGGCCAAAGCCATAGTGGATTGGCCGGTTCCGAGAAGCTAGACGGACCTTCGCAAGTAGTTGGGTTGGCAAATTACTTGCACAAGTATAGCCACAACTATGCGGAAGCGGCAAGGCCATTATTTATCTCCTGAAAAATGATGTGGAATGGTTTTGGAACACCGAGCACCACAAGGCTTTTGAAGCCATTAAGGAGA